CAGCAAGAGCAGCAGAAGAAGCAGCAGCCGCGCTCAGTGGGGATGCAGCAGCAGCGGCAGCAGCAGCAGCAGAGGCAGCGGATGTCTACGTCGTGAGAGGAGAGGCAGCAGCAGCCCTCGAACGGGCTAGGAGCAGCAGCAGCAGCAGCAGCGGCAGCAGCATTAGCAGCATTGGCAGCAGCAGCAGCAGCGGAACCGTGTACAGATGCTGCTGCTGCTGCCGCTGCGAGTCCACAGGCCAGAAGTCTTCCTCTCGCATGTGTGATTGCTGGGCGGTGCAGCAGCAGCAGCAAGGGCAGCAGCAGCAGCAGCAAACCCAGACTGGGGGGGCGCCAGCAGCAGGCAGCTCGGGCCCAGTCTTTGCCGCCGCCGCAGCAGCAGCAACATGGCGAGGAGCAGCAGCTGCTGCAGCAGCAGAATCAAAGTGCAAAGACCCGTGGCAGCTGCATGAAGAGCAGCTGAAGGAGCTGCTGCAGCAGCAGCAGCAGGAGAAGCACATTTGGGCCTCCCCTGTTGCTGCTTTTGGGGACTGGTGGGAATTCCTGGTGAACCCTCAAGCTGTAGAGACAGCTCCCTGCTGCGCTGCTGCTGCTGCTGCTCCTGCTGCTCAGGATAATGGCGCTTCAAGCAGCAGGACCAGCAGCAGCAACAGCAGCAGCAGCAACAACAGCAGCAGCAGCAGCTCTTGGGAGCTGCACTGCGTGCGTCAGGTGAACATGCTGTGTGCAGTGCCGCCGGCAGACGCAGCAACGAGCGGCCCTGCAGATGCTGTTGCTGCTGCTGCTGCTGCTGCTGCAGCGAGCTTGTGCCCCCCAGCAGCAGCAGCAGAAGCAGCAGCAGCAGCAGCAGGACCCACCGCAGGCTGCCCTTCCCCATTGTCGCCGGACCCAGAAGCAGCAGAAAACATGCTGCGCGCTTGGGAGCAGCGCCACTTCCGCAGACAAGAAGCAGACTCAAAGCAGCAGCAGCAGCAGCAGCAGCAGCAGCAGCGAGGGCTTCCGCCGCTGCCGCTGCCGCACGCGGGCATTCTGAGTTTTCTTCCGCCGCTCTGCAACTGCGGCTACAAGGGCCACTACGAGCTTTGGCAGCAGCAGCAGCAGCAGCAGCAGCAAGAGCTGCAGCAGCAGCAGCAGCAGCAAGAGCAGCAGAAGCCCGCAGCCAAAGGATCTCCGTTCGACAGCGCCAATGCATCGCCAGCAGCAAGAGCAGCACCAGCAGCGGGAGTGTCTGCTGCTGCTGCTGCTGCTCAATTTGAAGAGGGCAGCGTCGGCAGCTCGCCCGGGGGAGCCTTGACCCCCAGCAGCAGCAGCTGCAGCAGCAGCAGCAGCAGCAGGCTGCTGCCCAGCGCATGCAGCCAGCGGGGCTGCGAGGGCCTTCTTTATTTGCCTTATTCTTTCATTGAAGTGGCCCTGTCTCGAGGGAAAGAGAC